CTGCTACTAGTTAATGACTAAGGATTTGTGCTGGCTGCTGGGGACACAACAGTGGTCAAGACAATCAACCAAAATTCCTTTTCTCATGAAGCTTATACTGGAGTGGGGAAGACACAACTGATTACCAACTAGTTATTTATTTATAGTTATGGTAAGTAGTAAGAAGGAGAAATGCAGGGTACTGAGAGACAAAAGGGGTATCTAATCTACTCTCCAGAGTTAGGGAAGGCTTTTGGGGAGACATGAGGTTTAAACTTAAGACCTCTAGGGATGAACTGGAGTTAGCTAGGGCAGAATCAGAGACACAGGGCAGAGAAGTGGTATCAGGGCAGAAAAACACTATTCTTGTAAGAAATGTTCTGAAGTAGTAAGTAACTGGACTTAAATAAAGTCAATGATGCTGCAGTCCCAGAAGAAGGTGGCTGACGCTGCAGGAGAAAACAGATGAGGAGGGCAGAGGGCCTCATAGACTATATTAAGTAATCTAGACTTTTTCTGATGAAAAGTAGGAAGCCACTGAAGGGTATTTTAATTAGGAGAAGGTTATAGTCAGATTCATATTTTCAATTTTTCATCTTAATTTAAACTTCTAATTTCAGTACATTTTCTTAAGAAAACTACTCTATTAATATAATTATACATGAAATGGTTTCCCACTCCCACTCCATATTCAATTCTCTAAAGATGCTAGTATCTTGAAAGATGCCATTGCATACCCCGTTTCCTCGGGAGACGCAGAGATGGTGCTTCCGTCAATCTGACAGGGGTCCTGAGAAGGAGAGTCAGAATCTTTTCTATCTTGAGTTGTGGCAATATTGGCTACTCGTTGCTGCAAGTCCCACTTTCGAGCTACGTTGTTAATTGTTAACCTTTTCTTCTCCTGTGAAAAAGTTAATTGCGACAAGAATTATATAATGCAATTTTTGTAGCAGAAGTGACATCTAAGGAGCATATTGTTTGTACCTTCTTATCCTTCTTATAATACTTTTAAAAGGAGCCTATTCTTTTTAAGTAGCTACCCTATATATATTCTAAAACGAGGTTCAAAAGGCCTGTATTTACCCAGTGCATTCAAACATCTCAATAATGATCTATCATCTTAAATGTAAAAAATTATATATAGCAATAATTTGTCCTTAGAAACTTATTACAAATAAATATATAACCTACTGGAGAGTGAAAATTCACTATCTGAAATTTTAATTTGACAGAAATTTTTATATAGTTAATGTTATCTGAAATTTTAATTTGGCAGAAATCTATATGCCTCTGTGTTTAAACATAGCAAGAAAAAACTAATAATATTTAAGTTTTCCTACCCCAATAATTAGGACTAATATGGTAGAATAATCTAATATGGGGGGTTTGATCAGTGTTGATCAGTGTTCCAAGTTTCATACCATAAATTGTAATGTCTGAAAATCAAAAACTATTATCTAAACTATTAAAATAAATTGTGCTAGGTTGAAATGTCTCTAGATAATTAATACAATTTTAGATGAATAGGAAAGAAATTAATTCATTATAAGCAATGGATGCCTTAAAGTAGTGGTTCTCAAACTTTAGGGTACCTCAAATCGCCTGGAGGGCTTGTTGAAACAGATGGTTGATTCAGTGTTTCGGGAGTAGGGCTCTAGAGTTTGCATTTCTAACAAGCTCCCAGGTATTGCTAATGTTATTAGTTCATGGACCTCATGCTGAGAACCACTGACTGAGGGCATTAGAGCTCAATTCTCTCAGACAAACCCTATTGAGAAAAGCAGATCCCAAATACTGAAAGAAATTGTGCTAGATTGAAATGTTTCTATCAAATTTATATATATTAACTAGGAAAGTAATCCTTATTCTGATAAAGTTTCCATTATCAAAAGTTAACATTTTTAAGTGGCATATCAATTAGATCAGAATGCTGAAAATAAGACACTTTCCCTTTTCTCTTTACTGAAAGTACAATTCTCCATTTGACAAATCAGCTATTGTGATACTGACCCCTCTTTACCTGCTGGCTCTGGAGCCAGTGAAGGCTGTTAGGAAGAGTCTCTGTCCTCAGTGCATATATACAAGTAGAATAATTCTTTTTAGTTGTACCTTTTGCCTATATTTGGTTATCTAAGATTTTAGCATGTATGCATGGCATTAGGAATGAAGAGTGATGTGCTTGATTAATTAAAAGTAAACTTTTTAAAGTTCTACCTATTTCTGCGTTTAAAAATGTTTTTTGGGGTGCTGTGTATACCTACAGACCCAGCTACTCGGGAGGCTAAGGCAGGGAGATCTCTGGAGCCCAGGAGTTTGAGGCTGTAGTGCCCTTTGATGGTGCCTGTGAATAGCCACTGCACTCCAGCCTGGGAAACATAGTGGGATATTATCTTAAAATGTTTTTGGCCTGGGTTCTTTTTTTCTATTGTTTGATATTTCAAATTTTTCTGTATAATTAAGTGAGTTACACTTAAAGTCTTTTGAGACTTTTTGACATTTTATTTATGTCACCCTTATGTAAAGCAAGTAGAAATCTGCTATGCTACTGCAACAACATTTTTTCCCTAATCTGTAATAAAAAAGCATTTTACCTTAAGGAATTCTATTTCAGTTATTCACTGATGACTGTGCCAACCCAATTCTTAACCTAAGCAATGCTGTTATTTTTACTCAGTACCAAGGCCACTTTGAAAGAGGTGAGGGCACTGAGTTATAGTTAATGGAGACGGCTTTCACATTGGCTCCAAGCATTTGGCTTTCTGGCTGACAGGGCTGGCAGAAAGAAATATTCTTAATGAGGTAGATATAGCAGTGCTTAGGGGGAAAAGGCATAAAATATCTTTATACTACTGAGTATGTTAACAAATTTGTAACAGAATAGTCTTTGAAAATGCAAACACTTTCCTATACCTGTGCCAAAGTTAAGCTTCCTTTACTTGGATTATTAAAATCAAATCAACACCAGGTTGACTAAGAAAATGGTTAATTTTATTGGGTCCAGGAAAAGGGAAGAGATATTTTAAGACAGGAGAGTAGCAGGGGTCAGGTGGGGATCACTGCCTGGCCAGGAGGCCACAAGAGGGCTCTAGGCATCTGTGGAACAAGAAAGAAAGAAGCAGAAAGCATAGAGAATGCTAGAGATTCTGCAAGGCAGAAAGCGGTATCTAAAGAAGCGCTCACTCGTAAAGATCATAGAGGTATTTGGCATATCAGCTACAAATATGTTTCTAATAGCTATATGCCAATAAATTGCCAAGTCTGTTTTAAAGTGACAAATATTTTAAAAGATGCCAAATTTCAACTTCTGCCATTTGAATCAATTCTTCATAGTCCAGGCAAGACCACACCAGTATATGCCATAACTATCACTTCTCTTCATTTCCAAGGTTACAAGGAAAACAGAAAGATAGAAACGCAATAAGGCAGAAGATATGTGTCTATGTACTCTTCCTGTCTCTCTAAATCTAACCCAGCCATTTTGTTAATGATTGATATGTAGGGTGCATGAAACAATCCTCAGCAAATGCTGAGGTTATATTACACCGTGATTCCAATTCTGAGCTAGTCTAGAACTAGGGTCTCCTGATTCCCCATGCTTTTCCTCTTATTAAAAATAAAAATGCTAAATAATTCTCACAACTAAAGAGTCTATTTCATGACTTCAAGAGAAACTTTATGAACTTTAACTTTCCATAGCTTTCATAAAAACTTTCCAAACATTAAAAATAAGTTTGCTAAAAATTTAATGGCATATTTCCCCAAACGGTGATGGTAAGAAGCAGCTGAATTGGGTATACAACAAAAAAAAATTTCAGTTGAAAGGTGATGTCAAGTCCGGTTTGGTGCCTAGGCCAGGCTTTACCTATACTGGGAGGCCTAGAGCTAAATTATCAATGGAATTTCTTTGTTCATTCTTCCCTTCTGTGCTCTGGGCTGTCATATAAGAGTGGTCTATAGATCTGACAGCTTTATGTATGTATAAATATTAGGTCATTAAATATGAAATGTCCAATTTCAAATCACAAGTTTAGTTTATTATATCTCAAACAAAAATCAGTACAATTAATCAAAGTACGTGCCTAAACTATCGACAGTTTTTCCATCTTAACAGTAGCTTGTTTATGCCAGCAGTGAAGAAGCCTGGAGAGCAAGTGGTGATGAAATCACGAAGGCATTTTTCCACAGGTTGTTGACAATTGACTATTTTTCCTTGTAAGAAGTGGTCCAAAGCCTGGAAGAAGTGGTAGTCAGTCGCTGCAAGGTGAATACAGTGGATGACAGTTTCCAAGTCCAGCTGCTGTAGTTTAAGCAGCATTGTTTGTGTGACATATGGTTGAGCATTGTCTACCAAGAGGATTTAGCCTGTCTCTATCGACCAATCTCGGCTGCTTAATTGCATGCATGCTCACCATTTCTTCCAGTTGGCTGCAGTAGACATCTGCTGTAATCGACTGGCAAGGTTTCATGAAGCTGCAGTGGATAATACCAGCGCTGGACCACCAAACAGACACCAGTACCTTTTTTTGGTGAATATTTGGTTTTGGACTGTGTTTCAGCGCTTCATCTTTATCCAACCATTGTGCTGAACACTTGTGATTATCAAAAAGAATCCATTTTTCATCGTGTGTAACAATACGGTATAGAAATGGTTTGCCTTTATGTCATGACAGCAAAGAAAGGCAAGCTTGAGATAATTTCTTTTCTGATGCTAGTTTAATTCATGCAGAACCATCTTTCCAGCTTCTTTACCTTGCTGATCTGTTTCAAATGGTCCAATATTGTTGGAATAGTAACATCAAACCTTGCTGCTAATTCACACGTAGGTTGAGATACATTCGCTTCCACTGCAGCTTTTAGCTCATCATCCACCTTGGTCTTGGGTCACCTACATGGTTCATTTTCAAGATTAAAATCACCAGAACGGAACTTTTCAAACCATTGATGTATTGTGTGTTCATTAATCATATCCTTCCCAAACACTTTGTTGATATTTCGAGCTGTCTGTGCTGCACTGGTTCCATGACGGAACTCAAATTTGAAAATAACATGAATTTTTGACTTATCCATGATTTCACAAGAATTGCTCTAAAAAAAATTTGAAAGATAATCACAAGCCACAACGTGCATTTGAAAGACTGAGGATGTACTTTCACAATAAAAATAAAACAAGAAGTATCAAAGTGAAATGTCAGCGATATCAACTGTCAAACTTAGTACTTAAGGAAATCGGACATT